TCATTTGCAAAAGGGCCCGGATGCTAAAATAAAACCTTTGAAAACCATCAATCTATCCTAATATCTTTGTTTTACTTAATGAGAAAGCTGAGGCCCAGAGTGAGAGCACCTTGTCGGTCACTGAATATTTATTCAGTGTGTATTGGGGGGAAATGCAGCTAGCCCTCAAATGTGTAATTTCACCACTATTTACTTACGCTCTAGTGCAGTGGTTCTCAACCTTCTGGCCCTTTAAATACAGTTCCTTATGTTGTGACCCAACCATAAAATTATTTTCGTTGCTACTTCATAACTGTAATGTTGCTACTGTTATGAATCATAATGTAAATATCTGATATGCAGGATGGTCTTAGGCGACCCCTGTGAAAGGGTCGTTCGACCGCCAAAGGGGTCGCGACCCACAGGTTGAGAACCGCTGCTCTAGTGGGTGTTTAACAATGTTTCGGTGCACTGGTTTAAAGAAAACATGAGCAGTTAGCCTTCAGTGTGGCCGAAGGTGTGACAGGGACATGCTGCACACTGACTGGAGTTGGGGAACTAGGGAACCAACTCAGTAATGTCTCGTGAACTTCAGGAGAAAATCTGGGGCTGTGACACCAATTCTGTGGATTGCAATCAGCCTTTTTCTTATTATTGAAATAAAATAGAAAAATGTAGAGTCTATGAGAGTGCTCACACACATTAAAGATAAGAACGGCTTTGTGAGAACTTCGTGTATAGTTACCGTGTGAAATATATTCATACTGGGAGACACTGTCAAAACAGTTGGAGAAAGTGCATGTCTGAGGTCTCATGGCCGTCTTCACGTTGGTGCCATGACACTCAGTGGACAGCAGAGGTCAGACCACCCTTGCACAGCAGTGAAGGCTGATTCTTGGACGACCAGAAACCTAGGCCGAGTGCCAAGCAGGACAGAGGCCCGAGGGGACAGTTGTTGACAGAAGATCCCGCTCACTTGCCCACAGGAATGACAGCTTCTGAGGGGACTCTCCAGATGGCTTTGCTGCAGCCACTTTGCATTCTCCCACTTTGCATTCTCCTTCCCGGACTAGGTTCTGGTCTCTGACTTTCAAACACCCTGGGGGTGCTTCCCGGGCCTTGTTTTCCTCAGACCAGCTTCCTCTGATTCAGGAGCGGGCCCTGGCCATGCTGGTTCCTCTGGGGACATCGAAGCATCTCCACGTGGCATGCCCACGTCGGTTTAGGCGCAGTGGTTCTCAACCTTCCTAATGCCTCGACCCTTTAATACAGTTCCTCATGTTGTGGTGACCCCCAACCATAAAATTATTTTCGTTGCTACTTCATAACTGTAATGTTGCTACTATTATGAATTGTAATGTAAATAACTGATATGCAGGATGTACTTAGGCGACCCCTGTGAAAGGGTCGTTCGACCGCCAAAGGGGTCGCGACCCACAGGTTGAGATCCGCTGGTTTAGGGGGACTCCTGTGCTTTATATTCCCTTCCTAAAGGAGCTTTGACACCTGCGAGCAGTAAACATGCACCGAGCACTGACTTTCCCCTGGACACTGTTGGAAGCACTACATTCTAATCCACGCATCCGCGGGACCTTGGGGCAGAGAGAAGTTAAGTGTCTTATCCAGGGTTACCTGTTAGGGAGGAGCAGAGCCAGGATTCAAACCCAGGCTGGCTCTTAACCACTCGTCTGCTGGTAGGAGAGGAATAGGTAGCTGTTCCCCTAGTAATGTATCTATGTTAAAGGCTAGTGAGGCTGCAGGGTGTTTAGGAGAAATCCTGGAGACCCCAGAAGAGCAGGGATGTTAAAGCCTGAGACAGGAAAACAAGGTGGGCCCGCTGCCCTCCGCTGTCTGAAGGAAGCCTCGAGAGCAGGATGAGAATCAAAGGGTAAAAAGCTGCAAGGAGGTGCATTTGGGCTCAGCAGAAGGAAGATTTTCTTAAACGTATTATGAGATCTATAGCCAAACACAGAAAGCCCAGCCCCATTGAAGTCCCAACACTGTGCCACGTCTGTGTCCGACCTCCAAGGAAAGCTTTTCTAACCGTGGAGCCAGCCCCACGATGGACTAGGCTGCCTGCCCGCCGTGCAGTAGTGCGCTGTCTCCCTGAGCAAGGACAGGTGGAGGCCAGGCCACCACTGGGGAAGAGATGCCTGTTGGGCAGGAGGGCGCAGGAAGCCTGAGGTCTGAGCGGGGAAAGAAGAAAGAAGTGGGAAGTCTGTGGGGCACCTCTCCCTCTCCTGCTACATCTCCCCCGTTCCCAGCCTGGACTCCCTCTTCCCCACCCAACCCTATCTTACCCCTAAGCCATGCTTCATCTTATTTTATTCTCTCCCAGACTTCCTCCAAGAGCTGTCTGCCCTTGCTGCTTAAGCTTCCCCACCTGATGTCATTGTCTATCCCTGCAGCCTCGCTGCACCAAAGCTGTCCTTCCCAAGGTCTATTCCTACTGTGCCCAGTCTTAACTCCAGTGGCCTCTTCTCAGCCCCGTCCTCGCCGACCCTTCTGTAGCATTTGAAACTGGGAGCCATCCTCTCCTTGAAATGCTCTCCTCTGGTGGTTCCCATGCGCCGGCACTGCGGCCCAGTCTCCTGTCCCTCCACCCCACCAGCCCCTGATGCCTTCTCCACCTTGCTGGCCTTCCTGCTAATCATTAAATAGGCCAAGTTTATCCCTGTGTTTGCACTTTCCATGTGTGCTGCCTAGAATGCTCTCCCCCAGATTCTTTTAATGATGTTTGCCTCTTCACATCATTTAGATGTTAAATCAGATATTGATTTTACTGATTAAATACCCCCTCCTACTCCCCCACCTTCATCACTCTTATCCACTAACCCTTATTATATATTTCTCCAGTGTGAATTTATTTTGTCACTTGTCTGTTGTCTATTTTCCCCATTGGAAGGGCACAGACCTTGACTTGTCACTGTATCCCCCAGAACCTCCAAGAGTACCCAGCACAGAGCAGGTATGCAGTAAGTGTTTGTGATACGAGCAAACTAAGGAATGAATGAACGGTCATGGTCAGTTTCAGGACTCTCAGCCGTTTGAATCAGGCTGAGACCACCACTGCACTCAGAGGTCTGGGCAGGATGGGTCGTTGGCAGGCCCCCAGGTGAGAAGCTGGGGAGGCTGAGGCGGACTCCTGCACTTGCCCCTGGCCCCTGATATTCCTTCTTCCAGGTAAAATCCTGCTGTTCTCCAGGCCCTGCTCCATTTCTACCTCCCCAGGGAGCCTTGCTGGGCCCTCCACCCCATCCTGAGCCCACTTCCTGGGTGTTCTCACTCCCCAACGCTGCAACCTCTTCACAGCACCCACGTGATCGCTCCTTGAATTATTCTTCCTTGTTTACTCCTGCCTCTCCCTGAGACTGAAAGCACGTCAAGGGCAGGGACCATGATGAAGCCTCTGTGTTCAGTCCTGTGCATGGATTGAATGAACAAGGTTAGGCTTGTCTGGACACAGGCATGGCCACTGGATGTCCTCAGCCCCTGTGAGGCAGGGACGTGGTTTCTCTGGAGCACCATTAAGGGCATGTTTGGAGAGCCAGGCAGGCTTTGAATAAGAATTGTTTGGTGACACATGCTCATTCATGCCCTATGTGGTCTCTTCCCTTTCTTGTCATTCACCCTCGAGTTAGTAAGTTCTCAGTCACTGCCACTGCGGGGACGGCCACTAGAAACGAGGGAAAGAGGGAGAACTGGTGGTTCAAGTTCAGAATCCCAGCTGTGCCTCCTGGGGAGCAGGCCAGGAGGGGAGCCCCACGACTCCTTCCTTTGCCTACAGTCTGTTCTAAAGTGCCTTCACCCCAGGATGCCCCAGCTGGGAGCCCAGACTTCAGCTGGCTTACACAGAGTGCTGTGCTCCCAAATAGCAAGACATTTCAAAGCCTGAAACATCACTTTATCCCTTTTCTTAAAGGAGGACCCAACTCCACCGCGTCTGTTCTGGTTTGGCTCCGTGAGGTGTGACATTGGAGTGACCAGCGGACATCACCCAGACGCCCCAGGGCCCCAGCGTCAGCTGCCTAGGTGGGCAGGCTTGGCCAGGACTGTCTCCCCACCAGTCTGAGGTCTGTGGGTTAGGCCTCTTGGTTAGAGAGCTCCAGACGGGGAGCGGCAGGAAGGCCCCTAGGGAAGACAGGAGTGTCTGTGTGGCCAGCGGGCGCCAAGGACCACCGGTCACCAGCAAGGGTGGGGCTGCCGGGCATCCAGGCGGCTGTTTTGTGTCATTGTCAATTTCATACGGATAGTGTTATTGTCTGCTTTTTGCACATATCATAAGGATCCTTAAATGCTATTATTTAGCCTTCAGATTCCCTATTTTAAACAACATTCCCGGTGCCTATTGACCATAACGGATAACACTGCGCTCATCATCTCTGATGTACAAGCCTGTCATTTTTCTGTTGAATTATTTCCTCGCAACACATTCCAAGAAGTGGAATTACCACAGAATGAGAGAGGAGCATTTTAATAGCCCTGGAGCCGTATTGCCCAATTTCTTGCCTAAAAGGCCAAGCTAATTTACAGGGCCACGGGCGGTGTGTTTAAGCTGGTTTTACCACAGCCTGGCAGCTGAGACGGTATCATTTGGTTAATGGGTGCTAATTTAGTAGGCGTAAAGTGGCACACCGGCTCCTCTAATTGCGATTCCCTGATTGCAGCCAGGATGAGTGTTCTGGGCGCTGGTCTCCTCCTGGGAGTTCACTCCTGGGATGGCCTCCCTGCCCGCACTGGGCCTCAGCCTGTCCCTCTCCCCACCTCTGCCCTTGCTGTGTGTCATCTTGCTCTCTCTCTCTCTAAGCCTGTCTGTCTGCCATGGTCTTTCAGCTTCTGATTCGGGGACTTCCTCTGGTTTCTAACTGGGCAGGCACGTGGCTGGTTCATGGCGGTCCTGGACAGGCCCTGACAAGCTGCTGGCTAGACCCCTGGCCTAGAGGGCCTCTCTCCCCCACCGAACTCATATGGGCCCCTTTCTTCCTCCGGGGGCTCTTCAAGAACCCCTTTTATCTCTCCAGGTGGCCTCATCTGGGCTGATCTCCCGAGAAATGGCGGGAGTGACCAGGCTGTCCCTCAGTGACCCCCTCCAATGAAGTGCTCCCAGCTCTCCACCTTCAGAACAAATGGACCTGCTTGTCCTGGCAGTGGGGGATGTGGGTCCCCAAAGTCCAGATGTGGATAGCAGAGGGGCCCACAGCGGTGACCGCAGCTCAGCCTCTCTTCCTGCTCCGAGCCCCTGGCCCGAGGTGGCAGAAAGAGCTCCCTTCTCAGGCGGAACCCACTTGTCCCGGTGGATGCAGTGGATGCGCGGCCACCAGCACTCCATGGTGCGGCAGGGACAGAGCGGGCTGGCGCACTGCCCACTTCCAGTGGCGTTGAAGGTTCCTAGGCACCTGGGGAGATTTCAGGAAGACTTCAGAAAGGCAGCTGACCTCGCGGGAAGTCGGCGCAGATGCACGTGGGAGCCTGCGGCCGGCGAGTTGCCGACTCCGGGCACTGGACCTGCTGCTCGTCACTGAGGCAGGCGGTCTCCGCTGTCACCTCGCAGATACCGTGGACCTTGCAATTGGAGGCTGTTAAAAGCTAGAAACTCAGACATCGAGTTCTAGCTTCTCATTTTCTTTAGACCATTTTTAACACTCATCTCTTTTAAAAATGATTATAAAGTAGTGCATGCCTATTCTAAAATATTTGGAAATACAGAAAGATAAAAATATATAACCCTGTAAGGTCACCAAAGATAACTGCTGCTCTATTTCCACCTCAACTTTTTTCCTGTGGTCATGTATGTTTTTATTATCATAAAAACACATATAATTTGTATCTGTTTTATTCACTTTAAATATAAGCATTTTCAACATAAAAATGTTCTTTATAAACACTTCTAATGAGTGCAAAAGCGTGTTCTGAGTGGATACACCATGAATATTTACTGTTACCTAAATATTGGGCATTTTATATTTTCAGTTCTTCGAGAGCATAAAGACACATTGAAGTAAACATCTTTTAAACATACATCTTTGTCCACAGTTTGACTTTTCCGTTAGGTTCGATTCCTACTCCTAGGATATATAAGCATGTTTTGCGTGTGTATTTCTACTTTGCTTCCCAGAGGCTGAACTAATGCTTGCCCACCTTACAACACAACCAACTACACCAAAAAATACCACTTTAAAAACATTTACCGATTCGAAAGGCAATTAGACTATCGATTCCTTTTACCAGGTGAACGGAGACTTGGTGAGGGAAAGGGACACGCCTAGGGTCACCATAGGAGTGTGTGACCTCATTCCACCCTCACGACAGCCTGTAGTCGTAGTGGAGGAGCTGAAGCACATCGACGAGGTCACCTGCCCAGACCCACACTCAGCTCATCAGCCGAGAGGCCTGAGTGTGACCCATGTGGGCCACCCCAGGTCCCATGTACTCAGAGCTGCTGTTCCCAAATAGGTGCTGAAAGGTGGTTTGGGGCCAAGAGATGAAGGGACTTGGGTTTGGATTTACCCTGTAGGCAGAGGGGCGCCATGAAGCATCAAGGCTGTGTTTTACAAAGATGTTTTTGGTGGACTGGCCTGGGGAGGCTGGAGAGAGGGCGGCCAGTTGGGGAGATACGACATGCAGATGATGTGAACAACAAAGGGACTGCCCAGACGCGTGTGGGCTGTGGGCTGTGGGCAGTCGGGAGCGTCAGGGGTCCAGGGAGGCCTCCCGCTGTGTCCTTTCCACTTGGCAAGGGCCATGTTTATCTGCTACACGTCAGGCAAAACCTGTGCCAACCACCAAAGACTCCACCTCAAGTCTAGCAAATAAGAGAGAGGACGGTATGGATTACGTTATATTTAAAACAAGCCCACACAATGCCTGTAATTTTTTATCCTGACTCCGTAATTATAGCTGGAGACCAGTTAGATCATAGTTATCCCCACACTGACCTGCTGTTGGGACACGTGGAATTAAAGGCTTTGCCGCGCGAGATTCTATTTTGGATGCCGAGCACTGGCAGGTAACGGGCCTTTCGCAAGGCCCATCTTGTTGGCGGTCCTCCTGGGCAGCCTGCATCAAGGCCAAGTCAGCACCGGCTCTCGAGGAGACCACCGGTGCTGTGAACAATTGGGGTGCTGCAGCTTCGCCCTGCGGAGTGGGAGTCTGGAGATCCGAGGAAGCGCCATCCCTGGAGCAGGCCAGCCTCCGGGGTCAGTCCCATCTCAGAGCCTCGGCCCCCTTCCCAACTAACTGGGGTCCGGGGTCAGATGAGCCAAGCCCTGGCTGTTGGGGTACACTTGTCACAGACAGGCTGGCATTGCCCAAATTCAGAAGAGAAAAAGACAGAGGAGCCAGGCTTACGCAGACAGCCCCTGTGACAACCAGGCCTGGGTCAAGGCAGGCAACCCTCCCATTGGGGTGCACCCCTCCCTGTCCAGGGACCCACCAGAGAATGCCACCTCTCCTCCCCATAAAGACACCCCTGACAGCAAGGGTGGCCTTGGGTGTATAGACCACTCTCCCTTCCTCCACGGGCCCTCCCACAACCAGTCCTGCCTCCTGTGGAGGAGAGAGAACAGCGTCTCTTTATCAGCAAACTGCAGGAGACCTTGTGCACACATCTCATTTACTCACATCACTCATGCCGAGTTGGTGTGACCACTGTTACCATGAGCACATGGAGCTCAGAGAGGTGAAGCGGGGTTGGGGGGGGGGGGCGCTCAAGGCCTCCCAGCTTGTACGCGAAGGAGTAGGAGCTGGAATCCCATTGTTCAAAGCACACGGCTCATCCACGGACAACTGGACTGAAAACACCAGTCCCACACTCTTGGCCGCTGGGGCAACTCGCTAAGCAGTTGGACCTAAGAGAGCCCAATCCAAGTACCTATTTCTTTTTTTAAAATATATTTTTATTGATTTCAGAGAGGAAGGGAGAAGGAGAGAGATAGAAACATCAATGATGAGAGAGAATCATTGACTGGCTGCCTTCTGCACACCCCACACTGGGGATCAAGCCTGCAACCCAGGCATGTGCCCTGACCAGGAATCAAACCATGACTTCTTGGTAATAGAACTGTGACCTCTTGGTTCATGGGTCGACGCTCAACCACTGAGCCAAGGCGGCTGGGCCCAAGTACCTATTTCTTAGCACAACTCTCCTGCTGCACACAGCTCCTCTGGCCTCAGCCACGCCCAGGACAAGCCAGCCAGTGTCCTGTGCAGACCCTTATTCTTATGTCCCCACAAAGAATGGATGGGTCCCTCCCCAACCCCTGATGCATCTTACACTCACTTCTATTTTAACATTTAAGACATTGTTGTCACCACTCACATGACTGTCCTGCTGGACTTCTCAGGGCAGGGCCTGTGCCCTGTCTCTCTGTTACGAGTTTGACACCCAGCACATAGTAGGGGCTTACTGTTTCTTATAAGAAATAAAGGAGACTCTGAAAAACTCATATTCATCCTTCAAAGCTCTGATTACACAAGACCCTGGAGCCTTTCCTGGTTGGCAAGACCGAGTTAACCTGTCCCCCCTGCACAATCTGGAGGAGGCCTGCCTCACCCTCGGGGGCAGGGACAGGACCTGCTTCTTCCCGTGACCCATTCAGCACAGACCAGGCCTCCTGTCAGTAAGTACAGAACTGCATTGCCCTTTGCATCTGACACCAGAGGAAGGGCACCTGACCTGACTGGTCAGCCGCCCGTGTCGCCAGGCTGAAACCACCACGGACTGGCACGCCGGGTGTTTGCTGAGGAAGGGAACCCTGAAATAAATCCCAACTTGAAAAGGAAACACACCCGACAGGTATTCTATTTATATGAACATCAGCTCCGTTTTTAGGTATCTGCCCTCCTGCCTCACCTCCCCAAGGTGGGCCCAGCCCCCCTGCCATGGGCGCCTCCACACCCCACCCAGTAATCATGGCCCTACCTGCCCCCACCCCTCCCCTGTTTGCTCTCTGGGGTTTCCCTCGATTGCAGGGTGTGAGCTTCCAGACGCCCAGAGGCCTGTCTCATACCTGACCCCAGACTCCCTCCCTCTCAGACCTGCCCTCCTACTCCCAGAGTTCCCAAAGAGCAGGCAGAGCCAGGGCCCTGGGCCCAGGTGGGGAGGGCAGGGCAGGAGTCCATCTGCACTGGGCCCCCCACACCCCAAAACTGAGTCAAAGTAGGCAGATTGCCACTGGGTGCCCAGGAGCCAGGCCCTGCTCCTCCCAGGGCTCTGGCAAACCAGCAGGACCCCAGTCCCCAGTTCGACAAAAGTTGGGGTCCACTTGGCACAGGCTTTGGAGTCAGGCTCATGGTCCTGCTCCAGGCTCCACCAAGGCTGCCAGCGTAGACAACTTGCCTCCCTCCCTAACCTCTCCCAGCCTGTGACCCTCCAGGCTGAACAGAGACACATCCATCTGCTGAGAGGAGCACCATGAGGCTGGGGAGGCCGCTCTGGCATGGGGCTGCATGGGAAACCCCACAGGGTAAGGGATTCACATTGCAGAACAGCAGCTGGATGTTTCCCGTGTGCTTATCAAGTAGCAACCCCCAGGCACCCAGCCCTGGTGGGTAAGCCCCTCTCCAATCTCACCCTCACCCTCACCCGCTCCAGCAGCTCCCTGCCCCAGAGACCCCTGCGGCACCCGCTCTCTGGCAAGGTTCCCGCTGCTCATGGAGGCCCGTGCGGCAGGGGTGCCGGGGGACCCTCCACATCCAGCAGCTCCTCCAGCCTGAAACCAGGTTCTGGGCAGAGAGCAGGGCCAGCCCTGGGCGGGGGTTCCTGGGAAACTTCGGAGCCTCCCTCAGCTCAGCGCTCAGGCAGGCACTCAGCTCACCACAGCTGTGGTGCAGAGAGCCAGGCCTCCGCCAGGGACAGTAAACTGAGAAGCCTGCAGCTATAAATGTGAAGTGGCGAACCGCAGGACACTGCCACTGCCCCATGGGGCCTGCCGCCTGCCGCCCTGGGAGCCGCAGGGCCCCGGCCAAGCCTCCCAACAGCCCAGACCTGCCTGCTGCGTGTCCTGACTCGGCTCTGAGCAGGGCCACTGGGACCCCCATGGTCCCAGGCAGAGTGGAAGGCAAACACAACACAGCGCTTTGTACCCCAACAGTTAGCACCTCTGGTCTTGCCCCCCAAGCATACCTTGTTTTATGTTGACTTACACAGGAGGAGGGAGCTGGGTGCTTCCACGGGTCTTCCTCCTGCCGCGGGTGGCTCTGGGTCACAGTTTCAGGCCCTTGTGAGGCTGCCTCAGGCACAGTCAGGGGGCTGGGGGTGGACTGCAGCTAGCGTGGTCCTGACAGCATCCTCATAGGGACTGCAGGAAAGGACACCCTGGAGACTGGCATCCATGGCTGACGAAATAAGGACAGCCCTCTCCAAAAAGTGCCCAGTGTGTGCCCAGCCCAGAGTTCTCAGAACCTCAAAGGGTTGTTGTGCCCATTTCCCAGGAGGAGGGTCCAGAGCTGGCCTCTGCCTTTCGTCTCCCCACCACTCCCTGCTCAGGCCTGGGCGAGAGTGCAGTGCGAGGTGGGGAGCAGGGGCCCATCTGCCAGGATCTGGGGAAACAGAGGCAGGGAAGGAAGGCCCTCATTCTCGGTCCTCTCAGAGGCTGCCAAGGAACATCTCTCCTCCAACACCCTACTCCACTGAACAGACCGTGCCTATCACAGCCCCTCCCAGCAGATTAGGGAGCCAGCCAGGACAGGTAAGCCCCCTTGGGAGCAGGAGGGGGAAGGATGCTTGGGAGGCTCCGTCAGCCACGGCAGAGGCCCTCCCAGGAGACTGAGGAAGAGCTCTGGACCGGGTGGTGGGGAACAAGGAGCCTCCAGACATCACTGCAGGCCCCAGGGTCACCCTCCCAGAGAAGCCGCTGGGGCCTGGCACCCTGCTGACAGCCATTCCACACCCACGTAAGTCAGGCAGTTCCGCTTCCCAAGTCCACTAGTAAGAACACTAAAAACCAGTCTGGGCAGAAGTTTACTATAAAAATCATTTGGAATTTCTTATTTGTAAGAAACTTTAAAATTGTACAGGAAGACAGACGTAAAAGTAAGCTTTAATATATGGAAAACACCATTTTACTGTGTAGGATGAGTCAAGATGTCATCTCTCCCCTGAGCCAACCTACAAGTCTATTCTTCCAACTCATTCATTCATTCAATATTTATTGAGCACCTACTGTGTACCAGGTGTGTTCTCAGCACAGGAGAGAACAAAATAGATAAAAATCTTGGCCCTTGTGGGACTTACACTCTTAAAGGAGGAGGAGAGACAGACAAAATAAAGGCCTAAAGGAGAAAATTATATAGTGTTTTAGGAGATAAAAAGCACAATAAAGGAACATCAGGAACAGTATAGAGAGTGTGGGGCAGGCAGGGGAACTGTGGTCTGAAATAGGCTGAGAAGGAACATTGGAGCAGAGATTTAGAGGAGGCAGGAGTGTGCTCTGCCCGCTCTAGGAACGCTGAGGAGAGCCGTGCAGCTAATCAGAGCGAGTCCCTCAGACATTGGCACTGCCTGCCCACATTTTTCATTGTCACAACCAGGGGTGGGGGGTGCACGGTTGCTATTGGCATCTGGTGAATAGAAGCCAAGATGCTGCTGAATACCCCCCAGTGCACAGAACTGCTCCCGACAAAAAAGGAATTATTAGGTCCCAATGCCAATAGTGCTGAGGTAAGAAATCCTGGAGGGAGAAGGAAACAGTAGTAGGAGAGAGAGCCAGAAGGGTAAAGGCCAAGCAGGTTGTTTTTGAAACTAGAGAAAGCTGATTCAGAAATTCTTATGGAAAAATATGTGAGAATAGCTAGGGGGAATAAATTAAAATGAATAAACAGTAACTAGCTTCACCAGAGCTTAACATAAACTATAACTTCCTGTGACAGACAAATGACTAATTTCCTTAATATATAAAAAGTTCTTACAAAT